CGTGCGTGCGTGTGTGTGTGTGTGTGTGTGTGTGTGTGTGTGTGTTTCTTGATACACAAAAGGTATTCCTGGTGCAGTGGAACTGTTCAAATCATGGTGTGCAAGCCTGTGTGTATCCCACAGAGTGTGTGTTGCCTGGTACACAACCTTAACACACTTGTGTGAGCTCAGGTGGGCCCTCCTGAGCAGCGGGAACCACCTGAGTTGAACCTTGGAAGGGTTGGGGGGAAGGCTGCCCTGGAGATTCCCAGGCCTGGCCCCCAGTCCGCCAGCCTCCATCCGGTAGGGATGCCGCCTTCCAGGAAGACTCAGAAGGGAGTTGGCATTGGAGAGGCCTATGCTGCCAAGCAGCTGCCAGAGGCTGCATTAACCCCTTGTGTGTCCTGATTCGCCTTGGACAGTGTGGCTTGTGCAAGTGGGGTGCAGGTGGGCTCATGCACAGGTGAAGGACCAATAGCAGCCCAGCATCTCTCCCCAAAGTGTCCCCAGCCCACACTGGCCTGGCCATTTGTACACTGACTATCTTCCTGAGTGCTGGTGGAACCACAGACCCTCTCCATGCCTGGTGGGTTTTGGCTCTAGGGCTGGGTTCTGGGGGCTCTCAGGGGTCCATATGTCAATCATGAAACTGATATCTTTGTACTGGCAGATGGGAAGATGTGTCTCCTCCTAAAGTAACTTCTTCCTCCTTCAGGAAAGCAAACTGAGTGGGGCATCTGCCTGAAACCCAGGACCTAGGTTCTAGGCTCACCTCACTAGGTGACCAAACTGGCCAAACTCTGGGGGGTTAGCTTTACAAAGTCCTGGTCACTCCCTTTTGGTATCTGATGAGGGGGCCAGGCAAGCTGGGGTGACTAGAGCCTGTTCAGGCTTGGTAGTGATAGCTCGGCCTCACTCAGACTGACCTTGCTCTTCCATCTCTGTTGCAGAACACAGATCTGTTTGAGATGATTGAAAAGATGCAGGTAAGGATGCGCCAGGGAGCCCCAGAGCTGGCTGGGCTAAAAGTGGCAGTCGCCTTCCTGCCCCCTCTCTGTGGACTCACCCAGGGTCCCAGCTCCCATCCCTTCCTGGATCCCCGGAAAGTCATCCCTGTATGTACATACCAACCTTGCTCATCAGAGTCCTGGCAGGCTCCCGTGCAGTAGCCCCATGCAGAATGGAGGAGGGGATAGATGCAGGTGGGGGAGGCATTAGTGAGCCAGGCAGCCTGGGGTGCAGTCTTGCCCCCCTGCTTCACCCCTGCTCACCCTCCACCTCCCAGCTCTGCTCTGTTTGTGGCATGGGTGAGTGTCTGGATGAGAGCAGAGGTTAATGGGTAGGGTGGGAGGTGGTTTGAAGAAAGCTCAGGAGCCTCCTTCACCATGTCAACTCTCTGGCTTGGTTCCCATTCCTTCAGTTTCTTTGCCTCTTAGTCTTCCCTTTCTTCCTCCCCTCCATGTATCTCTTGATGAATTAGCCCCTCCCTTCTCTCTCTTCCTCTCTCTCTCTCTCTCTCTCTCTCTCTCTCTCTCTCTCTCTCTCTCACACACACACACACACACACACACACACACACCACATGCCTGCGTACACTTCCCTGCCCCCACTCCCAGCAGCACGTGCGTGCGTTCCTGCACAGAGCCCCCAGCTCCTCTCTGCTGCTGTCCCTCCCTCAGCTCATCACCACGGGGGATGCCAGAGGCCTGAGGAACGATCTGGCCAGCACACCATTCCCTACACACATGGGCATCTCTGTCTTAGGGCAGGCATCCAGGAGGGTGACAGCATACCTTCTCCCTGCAGGGCAGCAGGATGGATGAACAGCGATGCTCCTTCCCGCCACCCCTCAAAGTAAGTGGGCCAGGCCAGACTCTGGGGCATTCACCCTACTGGGCTGGGTGGGGTCCAGGAAGAGTGTGTCCATAGTGGTGAGCAGGGCACCTGGGCCCTGGCCCAGCTCCTAGAGCCTTTGCCCTGACCGTGGCAAGAACTTTCAAGCTAGCTCTTGCTGCTCTCCTGCACCACCTCAGACACCCGCCCTCTAGGCCACCTCATACCAAAGCTTCAGCCCTTGTTGCTGCAAAGGTGGCTGCTATCACTTGGTTGTGTTTCCCTATTGGCCAGTGAGCCCCTGCTCCACTCAGCACAGGTCCTCAGACAGCCATGTGCCTCCATTGACTTGAGACTCCTCTAGAGGATGTGGCTGGACCCAGGGCAAGGTTCCAGGGCTGCAGGAGTGTGCTGGTCTGTAACCCTGGAGCTTCATTCGGAGCTGGGGTCTCAGATCCGTCAGTCTTTAGACTGATGCTACCAGGAGCTTGGTAGGAGTGGCAGTTCTACTTGGAGTACTGCCTCCATCTACCCCTGCTTTCCTCAGGGGAGGCAGGAGACCTCCCTTGTCCTTGGCAGAAAGCATGGACTGAAGCAGTCTGGAGATAGCAGACCCAGGGAGCCCGGGAGCAAGCTAGCTCTCTCTCTCTCTCTCTCTCTCTCTCTCTCTCTCTCTCTCTGTGTGTGTGTGTGTGTGTGTGTGTGTGTGTGTGTGTGTGTGTGTGTGTGTGTGTGTGTGTGTGTGTGAAGAGTGAAGCCTCACCTCAGCTGGCTTGTTTATATTTTGCAGACGGAGGAGGACTACATTCCCTACCCAAGTGTCCATGAGGTACCAGTGTCAGTCCCACCCCCACCCTTACCATGACCATTGGAGGCCCCCATGCAGGACTGTCCCACAGAGACTCACTTTCCAGTCCTGAGAGTTCTGAGGTTATTTGAATCTGAGGCCTCTCAGCCACACTCTCTTCCACCCTTCTCCCCCATTCTTTACGTAGTGCTGAGAGGTAAGGAGCCAAGTAGGTTCCCCAGAGGGGTGGATGAGAGCTTTGGGTCTCATAGCCCTGGACTGTCCCATAGTACCTGGTAGTCCTGGGTCTGAGTTGGGAGGTTGCATGGGTGCTGTGTGGAGTAGCTCTTAGCTGAATTTCCTTCTAGGTTCTGGGGCGAGAAGGGCCCTTCCCCCTCATCCTGCTACCCCAGTTTGGGGGCTACTGGATTGAAGGCACCAACCATGAGATCACCAGCATCCCTGAGACAGAGCCTCTGCAGTCCCCCACCACCAAGGTCAAATTGGAGTGCAACCCCACAGCGCGTATCTACCGGAAGCACTTTCTAGGCAAGGTGAGTGTCTGGCTGGGATGGGAAGCTGGGCCCTACAGGAAGTAGTGTTAGGCTAAAGCTGGGTCTGGTCCGTGTCCTAGAATTCTGAGTCGCAGGGACCGTCATATAGATGTATGCATTCACTCGACAGATGTTGAGAAAGGCAGTTATTAAGAGAAGAGACCCCATCATGGTTTGTGCCTTAGCTAGGTTAGCTACTGTGTGCCTCAGTTTCCCCTTCTGTAAAAATGGTGATTATGACATCCATCTCATGTGGTTGCTGGGAAGCCTTAATGAGATGCTAGCAAGGGGTTTTGAATGGCATCTCAAACCAAGTAAGCACTGTGCAGTGTGAGCAAATTATGAGCACCAGCTGTGTACCTGGTCTCTGGGCACCGGCTGTATACCTGGTCTTGCACCAGCTGTGTACCTGATCTCTGGGCACCAGCTGTATACCTGATCTTACACTGAGTACTAGGTATGGAAAACAAAATCGATCCAGCAGCCAGGGGAGTGGCTGGGAAGATAGGAGCGTCACAGTTTGACTTGGACTGGTGTCACCACAGCCTGAGAGCAGGGACTCTGCCGTATAACTGCTCCATAGACTGACACCCACGGTGACACTCTACTGAGTGTTTACTGAGCAAGGCGATAACTCTTCACAGTTATCAGGTGTGATCTGGGCGTGGCCAGGCATTGCCATCATCCCAGCACTAGGGCATCCGAGGCAGGAGGATCACCAGAAGTTCAAGGCCTGCAGAGGGCACAGAGCGAGACCTTGTATCAACAGAAACAAAATGAAAGAAGTTACTGGCTGGGTGCTGAGAACCCCTGTGCTGGGACCCTAGATATTACACTGGGTGCTGTTGGTGTGCTGTAATAGAGCTGAGCTGTGGACTCTGGGGCCTCAGGGCCTGGGTGCAAATGGTGGCTCCTCCTTCTATTGGTTTGGTCGTGTTATCTTGGATGTTTTATTTAACCTTCTTGAACTGCTTCCTTATCTGTAAAAATGGGGGTAAGACAAGCTCTTGTGAAGCAGTTGATGGCAGCAGCCACCACACCTGTCTGCTCCCTCTGTGAGAATAAGGCTCTCCCGTTTTTGTGGGAGAGGAAGCCAAAACTCAGGTGAGGTGACTTGGTCAAGATCAGTTATTGAGTCTAGAATTGAACTAGCTCTCACAGACCTTCACTAAGATACTCTGGAAGAGGGGCTCCCGGCCAAGCTCTCTCTCTCTCTCTTTCTCTCTCTCTCTCTCTCTCTCTCTCTCTCTCTCTCTCTCTCTCTGTGTGTGTGTGTGTGTGTGTGTGTGTGTGTGTGTGTGCTTGCACGTGATGGAAGAAGGGGTACCCTTGTAGGATTGGGAAGCTGTGTGGCCTCAATGTGGACCCAGGGCACTAGGCTGTCTCTAGAAAATACTAGTGCTATCAGGTTGGGGGTAGGTGGGGAGATTCATTGTGCGTTGACTAACCCAGCAGGCTGAAGCTCCAGCTTTTGCCTTTGTACAGACCCAGAGCATAGCACTAAATTTTGCCTCCTGGCTGAGCCTGGTGTGGAGGGAGGGAGACCTTTATTCCAAGTGCCCGCTGTCCAGTGCTCTCAGCAGTGCCTAGGAGTTGGGGACTGGGAGCCTGGCACATAGTTGGCAATCTAAAGTTTACTAAAGGAGTCAGAGTACAGAATGGAGAGGGGTCTTTGGCACAGCAGGTACGAAGATACAGGTGGGAGCTGTGGTGACCAGGGTCAGGTCAGCAGGACAGAGGGCAGGAGGTGGGGTGGCTAGGGAAGAAGCAATGCCCAGCACAGGGACCACATGTTGGCAGTAAGAGGCAATGAGGGTGGCCTTAGGAAACGATTTCCAGAGACCACGATCCCACCTTCCACTGCGTCTCTAGGGCTCCTCTGGCCTTGTGGGAAACTCCCAGCCCCTGGCCTTCCTGGCCAAGTACCTGCAACTCATCTATGGACAGTGTCAGGCATTTTGGGGTTTTCTCCACCCTGTGCCTAGACACAGGGAGTCTCAGGGTGGCCCAGGGGTCTCTGGGTCTAGGTCCATTCATTGGACCCAGTTCAGGAGAACTGCAAATTTGAGGGCACACCCCTTAGCCCTGCCTCTTTCTCCACCCTGCCTCCACATGCAATATTCATGTTTAAACAAGGTTCACTTCCAGGGTGACTGATTCTCAGGGTGGGTGTGGCTGAACAGTTCCCCAGGCCTGAGCCGGCAGGGGGAGCCCAGGGTCAGGCTGGGGCTGTGGTGCCTCACTTCTGGGCTTAGGGATTTCTCCCCAAAAAGATTTCCCCAAAAGACCTGGGTTCCCATAGAGGGGGTGCCATTCCTGTCTTAGGCATCTCTTGTGCCCTCTTCTTTAGGTGAGGAGGAAGACAGGAACCTGTCTGGTCAGTTAGGATGCGTCACTTCCTGTTTCTCACGGGCCTTGGCTTCAGGGGCCACTGAGCCACAGGTTGGGCAATCAACCGTTCAGTTTCTTTTTCCTTTTAGTGCCTTGCACTTGCTAGTTGGCCTGTATCCCTCCCTCCCTTCCTACTCCCTTCATTCTGTGGAGGTCAGAAGAGGGCACTGCATCCCCTGACCCTAGAGTTACAGGCAGTTGTGAGCCACCTGATATGGGTTCTGGGAACAGAAAGGTCCTCTATAAGAGCAGTACATGCTCGTAACTACTGAGCCATCCAGCCCCATCCTACCATTCTTTTTCTTGAGGTGGCCTCACTGTGTAGCTCAGGCTGGCCTTGAACTTAGGATTGCTCGCCTGAGTTTCCCTAGGCTGGAATGCCTGTCTAGTTGGCTTCCTCCCTTCTTCCCTCCCTCCCTTCCTCTCTCTCTCGCCCTTCCTTCCTTCCTTTCTCTTTCTTTTTTTGTTTTTTTGAGACAGGAATTCTCTGTATAGCCTTGGCTATCCTAGAATTCTCTCTGTATACCAGGCTGGTCTTGAACCCAAATACCTGCCTGCCTTTGCCTCCCCCGTGCTGCTAGGATTAAGGCATGCACCACCACCACTGGCTAGTTGACCGATTGCTGGGCACTTAGGGACTGGGGCGAACATACACACACATACATGCAGGCACACAGATAAGCATGTGACTCCAGCTTTGATAAGGAGCCAGAGACAGAGTTCCAGCATGCATTCTTGAACGTGGTGGCAGGAACTTTACCTCACTCCCCTGCCCTATCCAGGTGAGTGGGCCTCTGTCCCATCTAATGCCATAGGAAGGTGGGGCATGGAGAAGCAGGTGCCCCTCAGGCTGCCCAGCTGGTAAGGGGTGGGCCAATCTAACGCAGAGCCCGCTGTTGCTCACAGCATCAGCTGCTTGGTGACAGACCTCAGTTGGGACCAACTTGGCTGTCTGGTTTCCAGAAGCCCAAAGCTCATCTTCCTCACTTCCCCCGCCCCTGCCACCACAGGAACACTTCAATTACTATTCTCTGGACACTGCTCTTGGCCACCTGGTCTTCTCTCTCAAGTATGATGTCATCGGGGATCAAGAGCACCTGAGGCTACTGCTTAGGTAAGGGCAGTGGAAGGGGGACCCCCAAGACAGTAGGGAGGACGGAGGTCTAGCAGTCGAGTGTGCAGCCCCCTATACCTGCCTTCCTGATGGAAGCCCAGAGAGGAGCAAGAATTTGCCTGAGGTCACACAGCAAGGTAGTGCCTTAGCCAGGCTTCATGCCCTGCTGTCACCTTTGGTCCCCCTGAGGTCGTCCCACTTTTGAGTCTCTCACCTGTGTAGCTTTCTCCTCCCAGGACCAAGTGTCGGACCTACCATGATGTCATCCCCATCTCCTGCCTCACTGAGTTCCCCAATGTGGTCCAGATGGCAAAGGTGAGGCCGTGAGCTGCCTGGGTCTGGGGTTCCAGAATCCCTGGGCCTGCATATGGCAGCTGCTTCTGCCTCTTACCTGATCTCACCCAGTGTGCATGCTGCCCTGTGTTGTCCTGAGCACCTACACATGCGCTTCTAGCTCTCAAGCTAGATCTCAAAGATCCCAGGAGGCCCCAGTTCTCTGGGCCCCATTCTGAGCAGCAGTAAGGGCCCCTAGTCTTTCACTAGCCTCTGTTCCAGACTGGCCCATCCCTGTCCTTTCTGCCACTGTCTTCCCTACCCTTGCCTACCAAGACCCAGGAAGTCTCTCCCGTTCTCCTTGACCCCAGCTCACACCCCTGCCTGTCGTCTTTTGCAGCTGGTGTGTGAAGATGTCAACGTGGATCGATTTTACCCTGTGCTCTACCCCAAGGTACCTGCCCTGACTTGTTCACCCAGGATGGGTGGCAGTGGGAGGAGTGAGCACCTAGTGGTCCCTTTCGTGGCTGGGCATCTCCCCCAGGTCCTCTTGTTTGCCTCTGACAACCCTGCATTGCCCACAGTGTGCAGTAGAAAGCACAGAAGGGTTATGTTTACTTAAGGACTCACAGCAGATAAGGGGCAGGGGCGGTGGTGGGGGAGCTGCCTGGAGCCTTGCTCATACCTGGAATGTCTCAGTGCTATCTGGGGAGCTTCCTAGAATGGTCTGTGCTCTAGACTTTTTTCCCATAGTCCTTGCCTTCTAGGGGATACAGGGAGACAGAATAACACTGGTAGCCCCCAAAGTGCATCCCCCTAACAGATGCATTCACAGCCCCCATGCTGCTGGCTCCCATGGCTGTAGCAATGCTGGAATAAGTGCAGTGAATTCTGTCTTCTGGAAGACATGGCCTTGAAACATCCTGGAGAGGAGGGGAAGGGGAGGTGTTCTGGCTGGATTTTTTTTTTTTTTAATCAGGCTATGGTCCTGAAAGGTGAAGGAAAGGGTCTCAGAAATCAAGTCCCACATTTTGGTTTCAGTGGGTTTTAGAAACAGACTCAAAGTGAGCAGGGACAACTGCTCAAAGCCCCAAGGCAAGCTGGCTGGACTTGAGGAGCATGAGGAAGTTTGCCAAAGTGTCAGGGAGTGAGCTGGGCACTGCAGAGTGGTTTGGTGTGGCCTTGGCCATAATAGGCAGGGCTCATGGTAGAACTTGGAAATCCAACAGAATCAAAGCCAGGTCCTAGCCCTGCACAGGCCTGCAGGATGCTGACTGGAGACAAAATGCTGAAGCTCTGTGAAAGTAGCAGGGGAATGGTAGAGTCTCTCTGTGACCTTGTTTTGACTTTTGACTGACAGACAGACAGACAGACAGACAGACACAGGAGCACAATGGTGCTCCCAGCAAACACTACCCCACGCTCTCCACAGGCATCCAGGCTCATCGTCACCTTTGATGAACATGTTATCAGCAATAACTTCAAGTTTGGAGTCATTTATCAGAAGCTGGGACAGGTGTGTTTACCCATCTCACATCACCCTCAACTGTCACCTGCCAGAGCACTCAGCTTCCTGGGAGCTTGGGGACTACCCAGGGGCTACTCTAGGAGGAAATGGACTGAGGGAGGGCCGCTCAGGATCTGCAACTTTGTGACCTTGCTCCCATGTGGTCCCCAGACATCCGAAGAGGAACTCTTCAGTACCAATGAGGAAAGTCCTGCCTTCGTGGAGTTCCTTGAGTTTCTGGGCCAGAAAGTCAAATTGCAGGACTTCAAGGGGTAAGTCCCAGGGTCAGGTGGCTAGAGCAGAATATGATCGTGTTCCTGAGCAGGGAGGGAGCCCCATCTTGGCCCCACAGAGGCCTGACTGGAGCTGGAGACTGAGCCATGGCCTGGGGGGCCTGGGGACAGGTTCCGAGGAGGCCTGGATGTGACTCACGGACAGACAGGGACCGAGTCCGTGTACTGCAACTTCCGCAACAAGGAGATCATGTTTCACGTGTCCACCAAGCTGCCATACACAGAAGGGGACGCCCAGCAGGTAGCCTGGGCACCCATCTACCTGTTTCCTACAGTTACCTGTGACCCCATCCACTTGTCTGTTCAGCACTCATCACGCCAGATTCAATGCTGGCCCGGTGACACAGATACGGAAATGACCCTTTCCTCCCCAGGATGGGCTGTGGGTAGAACAGGGGAGTGGGAAAGCCCTGGCTTTTGCCCCTGTGGAGCGATGGTGATAATGACATCCACACGGTACATGAGTTAAAGCAGGGGGTGTGTGTGACTGGAGTAGATTACACACAGCAGGAGCAAGAGGCATGGTGGGTCAGGTGGGGGTCCTGAGACTTAGCAGAGCCAGGAGGTAGGAAGGGCTTTTCAGATAAATGACAGGCTGCCAAAAAGCTAACAGAAGGACGTGGGGAGTCCTGGGAAGAAGCAATGGGGAGTTCAGGCATGATCTTAGAGCCAAACTCATAGTTCAGTTTACCTTGTTTACCTGAGGGCTCCCATCAGGCCACCTGCTGACTCCACTCTCCCAGCCCAGGGTGCTAAAGGGGTGATAGATGATAGTTATTCTTACTAAAGGGGTGATAGATGACAGAGATGTGTTATTCTTACTTGCCTTTTCCTTTGGCTTTCCCTTTTAGCAACACTGATTTCATTGTTCAGTGATGGACCGTGTTTGGGGGTGTTGAGTTAGGATTGAGATAGGGGAAGGGCCGAGAGGCGGGACCTGGGTTTGAGACTTGGGTTCAAGTCCTCAAGGGCATCGGGAGACCTTGGAATCCCTCTTCTCCCAGCTTCCTTTTTCTCATCTGTCGGAGGTATCCAAGGAAACGGGAATAATTTTAAGACCTTTTGCCATTTTGGGGGTGGGCGGGAAACACACATCCCTAGTTGTGCTCTCTGCTTGCTCCGTCTCCCCCTACTCCAGCCCCACACGCTCTGGCACCCCTGTCCCACACCCTGCGTGGCCAGGCTGTGAAGGCCCGTGGCCCTGTGCTCAGTTGCAGCGGAAGCGGCATATCGGGAACGACATCGTCGCTGTGGTCTTCCAGGACGAGAACACGCCCTTCGTGCCGGACATGATTGCATCCAACTTTCTGCATGCCTATGTAGTGGTGCAGGCAGAGGGAGGCGGCCCCGATGGCCCCCTCTACAAGGTAGGTGAAGTTAGGGCCTCACCGGGCTTGTGGGCTGTGAGGAAGGGGCCACTTACCTCTCAGTCTGGTCTGGTCTTAGCCCACCTCCTCAGCCTTCATGAGGTCCCCTCACCAGCCCCACCCTGCAAACTCAGGGCAATGCTGGAGGAACAGAAACTCTGCTTTAAAAGGTCCCCACATTGAGCAGCCCCAGGGCCTCCTGAACCCCATAAGATCTGAACTAATTTAGGGGTTTCTAGATTCTGTGAGCAGGGTAAACAGGGTCTTCCCCTTCCAGGTCTCTGTCACCGCGAGAGACGATGTGCCCTTCTTTGGGCCACCCCTCCCGGACCCTGCTGTGTTCAGGAAGGTGAGAGGCAGCCCTGCTCTGTGATCACCAGAGCAAACTAAAGTGGGGCGGGGCTGAGGGGCCACAGTCTTGCTTGGGAGGACCCGAAGCCCGGCTTTGTGCTGGGATCTTCTCCTTCACCCTTCAGCTCCACTACCTCTCTTTGTCTTGATCAATGGTGTGACTTATCCTACAAGGCCACAGAGCACGCTGCAGGTCTGTTTGACATTTTTCCTAGCTGACTGTAGCCTTTCATGTCTTTTCTCTGACAGTCTGGCCTCTAAAATGTTTTTTTTTTTTTTTTTTTGGTGGGGGAGGGGTGCACACATGTCCCTGTCAACCTCTCAGTAGCCACATGGCAAATCTTGGTTTGATCCCTCCCTCACCTTGGGTGTCCTCTAGGGACCTCCCAAGTTAGGGGGTGCCATCAGGGGTACAGGGTTCCTTGCAGGTGCCTAGCTAGAGTGCTGAGCCCAAGGGGAAGCCACAGCAAGGCACAGCTCAGGAGCTCCGGTTGGATTCACCTAGCTCAGCCCCTTCCTCCAGTGTTCATCTGACCCTTCCTTTCGTCTCCTCTCTGGGGGCTTCCAGGGGCCTGAGTTCCAGGAATTTCTGCTGACGAAGTTGATCAACGCTGAGTACGCTTGCTATAAGGCAGAGAAGTTTGCCAAACTGGAGGTAACATGGACCGGAGGGAAAGGCAAAGGCATGTTCAGACCTTGGCTTTGGGGGCTGACTGGGGACAACAGAGCTACAGGTCAAGTGAGAGGCAGCAGAAGGCAGCATCTAGCCTGGGTGGAGGGGAAAGGTGCCACACAGGAGGAGGGGCTAGAGAATTATGGAAGTCAGTGCGGGTACCTAAGGACCGACCTCCTCATGCCTCGCACAGGGTAGGTGAAGCTGGGATTGGAATTGCCAGGCCAGGGGTTGATCTCTGGGGTCTCTCACGGCCAATCCACAGGAGCGGACGCGTGCTGCCCTTCTGGAGACGCTCTACGAGGAACTCCATATCCACAGCCAGTCCATGATGGGCCTGTGTGGCGACGATGATAAGATGGAGAATGGCAGCGGTGGGGGCGGCTTCTTCGAGTCTTTCAAGGTGAAGGCCCTGGGCGCTGCCTTTGCGGATGGGACTTGGGTAGGCTTAGGCTAATGGAGGAGGACTGGGGCATGACAGCTAGAGGCAGCTCAGGTGTGGATGGGCCTGGGGAGGGGCTCGTGGTCTTAGCTCTAGAAATGGAGTTTGAGTTGGGGCTTAGGGTTCTGTGAGGGAGGTGTGGCTACAGGTGGGGTTAGGGCAAGTCTGAGTCCCGAGGATGTAGCTGGTTGGGGTCTGGCTGAGGGTGCGTATTTCTGCTTAGAAGTGTAGTTAGGATTGAGGACATAGCTTGGTGGACCTACACTCTCGGGTGCATTGGAATTTGGAGATGTGCTCTGCGCTTTGGGTAGTCTAGACCAGCGAGAAGAGTAAAAAGTGGGGCTCTAGTTTGGGATGGAGTTAATGGCTGGAGGGGCTCAGGAGAGGGTCTAACCTGGGAGCACCACCAAAGGAGGCCTCTAGATGGCAGAAAGGAGCCACTGGCGCCACGATCTGAGGGCAGAGAAGAGGGAAGGAGGTCTGTAAGCCTATAAAAATCAGGCTTAGGAAGCGTATGTGGACCAGGTGACATTACAGAGGGACCTCGCAGTGCGCCCTCGCCTGGTACTTCGTGGTTTCACTAAGAGCACAAGAGTCCCTGCGATTACATCTCAGCTCTGCCACTTACCAACTTGGTTGGACATGCTCCAAACCTGTTTATCTGTTGAGTAGGGAAATGGGGGTCATGGCAGCTGACCACACAGAAATGCTTTTGAGTTGTTTGGAAACAGTTAGGTTAGCATAATATAGGTTTTTGTTTTTTGGGGTTTTTTTTTGTTTGTTTTTTGTTTTGGTTTTTCGAGACAGGGTTTCTCTGTGTAGCTTTGGAGCCTATCCTGGCACTTGCTCTGTAGACCAGGCTGGCCTTGAACTCACAGAGATCCGAATGCCTCTGCCTCCCAAATGCTGGGATTAAAGGCGTGCGCCATGGGTGGGGCAGGGGCTGCAAGAAGGACCCCAAGAGAGTCCCACAGGGCGGCAGAGTTCTAGCATGGTCTGAAAATGGACAGAAAATGGGGCGGGGGCTGCGAGAAGGACCCCAAGAGAGTCCCACAGGGCTCCTGGTGAGCACAGTCAGCCATGTGTATACTCAGTATTGCCTGCCATCCTCATGACATCCACGGGACAGCATGCTGATGAGACGGCCGAAGCCCAGCTACTCTCAAGCAAGCATTCAGAATACCTGCCTCTCATGTGGGGAAGCTGATTTGTCACAGGGGGGTGGGGCTTCTGAGGTTCACCCAGAGTGCCGTTGGTGGGGAGGGACCAGATGCCTGTGTCCCTGAGGTTTCCCAAAGACGAGAGGCCCCCAGGAAGCCCATACCTCCTTCACACCTACCCCTATTCCCACAGAGGGTCATCCGGAGTCGGAGCCAGTCCATGGATGCCATGGGACTGAGCAACAAGAAACCCAACACCGTGTCTACTAGCCACAGTGGGAGTTTCACCCCCAACAACCCTGACCTGGCCAAGGCAGCTGGAATAGTGAGTGTCCCCCCACTTCTCTTGTCCCCACCCCCACCCCGGGCCCTTGGTTCTCCTTCCTCCTGAGGCCTGGCCTTACCGACTCCCACTGCCCTGTTGTTCATGCACCCATCCTGGGCACTGGACTTGGTGTAGACCCTGCTCTCCATGGTCAAGTGCCCCAGTCAGGATACTGGGATACTGTTCCCCACCCTCTTGGCCTTCTCCTCCTGGCCCTTTGTTTATTTGGTGTGACTTTCTGCAGCCTCTATGTCCTGATCCTTACTAAACACCTGCTGTCTTTTGTGTGCTGGGAACGGGGCTGCTGTGTGGGCATTTACTGTCAAGCCTTAGGTTTCTGGAAGCACCTCTGTATGTAAGGCTATGGGCATCACTGTGTGTCAGGACCTGGGCTGCTGTGTGGACATGCACTTTCTGAGCACCTACCGTGGCCCCAGCCCTGAGTTCTTGTGAGCACCTACTGTGTGCCCCACCCTGGTCTGCTGTGTGAGCGCCTACTCTGTGTCGGAAAATGGGCTGCTGTGTGGGCATCTACTCTGTAAGCATTACTGTGTGCCCCAACCCTGGGCTGTTGCGTGAGCACCTACTGTGTGTCAGGACTTGGGCTGCTGTGTGAACAAATGATGTGTGCTAAGTCCTGATTATCAGGACACATATGCTCTCTGCCAGGATGTATGTTGCTGTGTGGACATTTCTGTGTGGCATTCTGTGTCTTCGGCAGCCAGGGGCTCAATGCCTTTGACTGCCTTTTGTGTGTCTGGAACTGGGCTTCTGTGTGGGCTTCTCCTGAGTGAACCCTTTCACTATGATTACTAATTGTCAGGCTCTAAGGGAGTCTGCCCCCAACACAGTGAATTCTACAAATCTACATTATGACTTAGTTGTTTTGCGCCACCTAGTGGCCACCCTAGACACTGCATCCAATGCTCTGCCCCTCCACTCCCATTTGCCCTCTCGTAATCCACCACTAACCCACCCACACATCCATCTTCCCATCCACTCACCTATGCGTCTATCCATTCATCTGCCCATCCGACAGTCCATATACCCAGCTACTATTCATCTGCCCACCTGTCTACCCCCCTGTCCATCTCTTCATTCCATCCACCCACTTAACGTCCATCCATCCATCCACCCATCTGTCCATCCATCCATCCACCCATCTGTCCATCCATCCATCCACCCATCTGTCCATCCATCCACCCATCTGTCCATCCATCCACCCACCCATCTGTCCATCCATCCACCCATCTGTCCATCCATCCTTCCATCCATCCATCCATCCATCTGTCCATCCATCTGTCCATTCATCCATCCATCCATCCATCCGTCCATTCATCCATCCATCCATCCACTTACACATCCATTCATCCATCCACCCATCTGTCCATCCATCCATCCACCCATCCATCCATCCAACCATCTGTCCATCCATCCATCCAACCATCCACCCATCTGTCCATCCATCCACCCATCTGTCCATCCATCCATCTGTCCACTTATCCACCAGTCCATCTGTTTACCTACCCAGCCGCCCATCCTTCTCTTGCTGTCTGCTGCATGCCGAGCCCTGTGCTTTGCTGTGAGGCTGTGTCACGTGGCAGGAGTTTCCCCATCCCCTACCATCTCTCGTGTGGTCTGGCCAGGGGAGCAAGGTGAGGTCTCTGCTGTCCAGTGGTCACCAAGTCCATTGTCATCTAGGAGCTGGCCCAACTTCTCCCCAGGTTCTCAGCCCCTCCCTTGCTGCCTGTGGAGTGGCCTGGCCTCCTGTGGGTGGCTGTGGAGGGCCCCGGGGTTAGGGCCAGGCCAGCAGCACCCACCATGGCAGTAACCAGACCCATTTCTGTTTTTGTTTTTGCACAATTCCCCCTGTCTTCACATGGCTTCCTTTTCTTACTCTTCCTGTTTCCTCATCCTTTTCTCCCTTCGCCATCTGTCATTCCTCCTCTTACCCTATCTGCTTGCACCCCTCCCAACTCTTCTCCTGTGCCCCAACTGTGCCTCACTGTCTCTCCCTACCCTCGGTTTCTCTTGTGTGCTCTTGCGGTACCCACCTGCCATTGCCTTCTCTCTCTCTCTCTCTCTCTCTCTCTCTCTCTCTCCCTCCTTCCCTTCATGTTCTCTCTCCCATCACCCTGTACCTCTCTGCCCCACACCAGTCATTGCTTATTCCCGGGAAAAGCGCGAGTAGATTCGGACGCCGGGGCAGCGCCTTAGGCATAGGAGCTGTGGAAGAGGTTGTCATCCCATCCAGGGGCCGCGGCTCTGGAGCTGCCTGCACCTGCACGCGCTGTTCTCTGCTCGTTCTCAGGACGGAGGCCATATTGGGGACGTTGCCCCTTTCCCGGGACAAGCCCAAGGGCGTGCAGGGCAGAGTGCCACAGCTCTGGTGATACTGGGACCTGGTCAGCGTCCCCAGGCCCTCTCTAGGAGACGCTGGCTTTGGCCTGGCCCCTAGAACCCTGACTGGGTCCTTGCCGGGATCTGGTACTCAAAGACCCTCTGCCCAGCTGCACGTCTCCCAATATTGCCGGTTCTGCATGAAGCGCCACCCTTCTCCTCTCCCTGTGTCCCTTCCACACCACGAGCTGCCTGCAGGTCCTGTCCCGCCCTTCATACCTCCCCATGCTTCTGATGCCGGGCATCCCGCCATAGAGTGTGTAAAGGGGGTGCCCTACTGGGGGGACAGAGCCTGAAGTCTGAGGGTGCAGGTGCCCTCGCAGGGGCTGGGGTTGCCACTGCTTTCTCACTACTACTTTTAGGCTGCAGCTCCCATGAGGCCCAGGGGCAAGAGGCGGGGCCATCTGAGGATTAGTCCTTGCTCCTGAACCCAGTGGCTGCCCCTGCCCTTCTCACACTAAGGTCCAGCACAGCCATGCTGTGTGTTCTTCGGAGCAGCACTGACTCTCTGGGCCTCTGCTCCGGAAAGCACATTTTCTCTCCTTTCTTGCTCATCACCTGTTGGCTTCAGGGTGCAGTGGCAGGGCCCCAAAGGGAGGTGGGGGCTACTGGGGTTCCAAGACAGGTTGGCACTGAGTTGGAGTCTCTCCCCACAGTCCCTGATTGTCCCTGGGAAGAGCCCCACAAGGAAGAAGTCTGGTCCATTTGGCTCCCGCCGCAGCAGCGCCATTGGCATCGAAAACATCCAGGAGGTGCAGGAGAAGAGGTGAGTGAGTGGGAGCCTGACCCACCAGGGCATCCGGCATGTCTCCCACCCTGACCTGCAGGGGCGCCAGTGCGCCTCCCACCCTGACCTGCAGGGGCGCCAGTGCGCCTCCCACCCTGACCTGCAGGGGCGCCAGTGCGCCTCCCACCCTGACCTGCAGGGGCGCCAGTGAGCCTCCCACCCTGACCTGCAGAGGCGCCAGTGCGCCTCCCACCCTGACCTGCAGGGGGCGCCAGTGCGCCTCCCACCCTGACCTGCAGGGGGCGCCAGTGCGCCTCCCACCCTGACCTGCAGGAGCACCAGCGCCTCATCCACTCTGACCATTAAGGGTGCTCAGTCCCGCTGGCCCACCCTGACTTTCAGGGGCTCCCAGGCTGCTGGCCCACCCTGACCCGTGCTTGCCTTCTGCCTCATCCCCTCCAGTGAGAGCTATCACCTAGGAGGAAATGCCCCATCTGACATTCTGTAATTCCACGGTTCCCTGGGGCCAGCACCTTTCAGATCAAGAACAGCTTGCCTAGTTCATACAGCCAGCAAGGGTGGAGCAGCGAGAGGGGCTGGCGCGTCTGTGAACGCCTGTGGGCAAGGCTGAGCCCAGAAAGCAGACAAGAGGTCCTCACCCTATTTCAGTTGGGTAGTCTTGCCACTGTGCTTCTCTGAGACTCATCACAGCAACAAGAAACGTGAGATAGGAAAACAACCAGCAGCCTGAGGCTGTCATACACAATGTCACAAACACAATGCAGCTGCCAGCAGAGTCTCATGCCACCTAAACTCAAGCCCTGGTGTACCCAAGTCCTGGCTGGACATCATTTAGGAGACATCACATGCAGAGGAAGGGCCAGCTAGCCAAAAAGCCCATCCCATGCCCATGGCCACTCCTCACAGCCTGGGCTCATTCTACCTCAATGCCAGGCTCAGTGTTGAGTCCCCCTGCTGTCCCCATGTGTCCCGCAGGGAGAGCCCTCCAGCTGGCCAGAAGACCCCAGACAGCGGGCATGTCTCACAGGAGCCCAAGTCAGAGAACTCTTCCACCCAGAGCTCCCCGGAGATGCCCACGACCAAGAACAGGTAGGGCTTCGGGTACACTGGGTTTAGGGGGAAAAGCCTCTCCTTTGTTTTCTGATGCCCCACTGAGTGCCTCGTGCATGCTGTGCCCCCATTGTACTCGGGAACATGGCTGCAAGCTGTGTGCACACAGGGCCTGGACAATACACCTAGCAACCCTCATCTGCACAGAGAGCAGATGGAGATTACTGGTGCAGGGAAGAATGAGGTCTCCTTAGTGATTCTTCAGACAGAGAGCAGAGAGGAACCGCCCCGATGAACCTGGTAGAGATAGGAGGGCTCTGGGGAGGAGCCAGCAAGTGCAAAGGCTCTGAGGCATGTCTGGTGGCTGGAAAGAAAGGCCACGGGCAATTAGAGCAGACTTAGGGACTGGGCCCATTGGGTGGTGATGGGAACAAGGCCAGAGGGGTGGGCAGAGACCTGCTTATAGCTTTGGAGGCTCTGTGGGAGCTTTGAGTTTTCTCTTAGATGGGATAAAAACACATGAAAAGAGCAATGTTTTTAACCATGTTGAGAGAGGCTGGCAAGTGGGTGGGGCCGGAGTCAGGGAGACCTGAGGAGGCTGCTACTCTTACTGGACTGGTCCCTGTTGGAGTGGGGATGGGAATCAAGAGGACTCACCATGAGCTGGAGAGTCAAACTGCTGAACAGAGACAGAAAAGTATGACAGGAACAAAACTGGGTTGTGGAATTTTTGGACGAGGCAAGACTTTGGGCAGGAGACCCCGAAGGCCCTGAGTCTGAGGGTTCCAAATCCCCGTTCTGCCTGGAGCTCAGTGACCTGAGGCTGAGTGCCACCCTCCTTGTGCCTCCATGTCTATGAGATGGGTCTCGTGATAACAGACTATCTCAGGGGACCAATGAATGTTTACTAGACTAAGCCATTAAGGATCACAGTTACTGAGTACAAAGCCAAAGCGATCAGACTTTCCCTGGGGCTGTGAGGAGCCACGAGATGGCACCTAACCAAATCCACGCAGTAGGACTGGTTTCAACTGGGAGTCCATGGAGGTTAAGAAGCCAGAGGGGCTTGGCTGGCTCCTGGCTGAGTTTCCTTGGGGAGAGCATGGGACAAGGGAGTGAGGTGAAGCACCCATGGTGGCTGCTGGCTGATGGCACTGTGTGGCAGGGTGGACACGGCTGCCCAGAGAGCGGAAGCATTGCAAGGCTTCTCCAGGTCCTCATCCAGTGCTAGCAGCTTCGCCAGCGTGGTGGAGGAGACAGAAGGTGTAGACGGGGATGACACAGGCCTGGTGAGATGCCTGAAGGTTAGGGCCCCGCAGGGGTGGGATGGGGCCTCTTAGGCCTCTGGAGGTGCTTTGGGTAGAGGAATAAGCCTGGCAGTGGCTGAGGTGTTGGGGGTATTGTCCCAACTCGTGGGAGATGCAGACAAGGCTTAGCCTTCCATGGCTCCCCAGTGCTGTCCACAGAGACCCCTGAGGACCAGGGCTTCTTATACCCTTGACTCATCTCCTACTTCTTCAGACACTCTGAGCTCCTCTGCCGTTCCTAACTGTCATGGGCTGACCCCCCCCCCCCGGCTTTTTCACTCACGATTGTATCTTCCTACCTTCTCCTCCCCCCTCCCTGTGGCCTGCCCCCCCCTTCAGCACCTTGGCCATTTTTCATCACACATACTTCCAGTGGGTACTCGCTAATGGCCTGGCCTGTACCCTGGCAGACACAGGCCCTGCCCGCTGGCCTTCTAGAGTGGAGTTACAGGGTTCTTCACAGCCCGTTGGCCTCTGAGATCAAGCTCCCTGAGGTCAGGGACTGGGTCTGTTCTATCCCTGAGACCTGGACCAGGAGAACATATGCAGATGTGTGTTGAGTGAACAAGGGATGGGGGGGGGCTGTGGGCGGGGCTGACCTCCCCCCCCTCCCCAGGAGAGCGTGTCGTCCTCAGGAACTCCCCATAAGCGGGACTCCTTCCTCTACAGCACATGGCTGGACGACAGTGTGAGCACCACGAGCGGGGGCAGCTCCCCAGGTACAAGAATAGCTGTGCTGGGTGGGAGAGGGCAGGACACAGAGGGCGGGGACTATCCATACTTCATAGCATGGGGATGGGATGTGAGGCAATGGTCCAGGGAAGGTGGATTGGTCTCACAGGATAATAAAGGGTAGCTGGGAGGTGAGCTAAGAGTGAGGGACCCCTAAAAGGGGGGACTTGGCAGGGTTGGGGAACGCCAGTACCAATCACCCATCCTTGCCTGCATCTCCTGGGTGCCTCCTCTTGGCCAGTGAGGTGGCTCCCTCCTGCCCCCTTTTCCAGGCCTCACGCGCTCACCCCACCCAGACGCCGGCAAGTTGGGGGACCCTGCGTGTCCCGAGATCAAGATCCAACTGGAAACATCTGAGCAGCACACACCCCAGATGGTATGAGGGACCCCTCCTGGGAGAGGGTAGAGCTGGTTGGGGACAGGGACCCAGGGAGCAGGGGTACCCCGCAGTTGGGATGCCCCTTTAGGCCAGGAGGACTTGGGCTCATCCGATGACTTCTGGTTCCCTGTGTCTCCTGCCCCCACCTCTGGCCGTATCTGTCCCCACAGGGCTGCTAGCTGCCACCTCATCAGAAGGCGGGACTGAGAAGGTCAGCCAGTACTTACCTGATCCTGTGGGGTAGAGGAGGGGAGTCTCAGGCCTTGGTGGCTGGGGGCCTGGTCTGGTCTTAGTGCCTCTTGGCCTCAGTTTCCCTGTATGTGCAGTGGGGCTCATAGTGTTGCCTCACCTCTGCCTATGAGTTGTTGGGGAACCTGATGGAGCCAAAAACTAGGCGGTCGTGGAACAAGGGAAAGGCTGGGGCCGCCCGTGGGGTGGAAAGAGCCCGTGCGTGGCCTTCCCAGGCTGTCGTCCGTCCTCTTCCTCTGAGTTTCTTACCTCCCTTTCCCGCAGACGAGGCCTCAGAAGCACAAGAAGATGCTGCACCACACCCAGGCAGCTAGCCCTCTGCCCCACAGCCACCCCAGCCCCTGGTACCCCTGCCTCCAACCCCCCTGGCCCACCCATCTGGGCTGTCTCCGCAGGGCGGAGCCATCCAGAGCTAGGAGTGGATGCTGCTGGCATCACATCCCCCACCGCAGGCTGGGGCTCTGGGTGTGGGCAGGGACTGTGGCCCTGGATTGCCCCCACCTGGGCCTCTGTCCCCTGGGTTCCCCTCTGGAGTCATGGGGAACAGGATGGGAGGAGAAGGGACACGGCGTGCACACACTCCATTGTAGAAGCAGAAGGTACCAGGTATGCAGAGTGAGCACTGAGCAGGGAGTCTTGTGGAGCTTCTGCCGTGGGACCTTGGGCAAGGCATTCTCCTTCCCCGGGCATCTCTGCTGCAAGTGGACAAGATTATTTCAGAGGCCACTGAAGACTGATTCCAGACACCTGCCCCAGAAGAGGGCCATTGTCCTCCCGGGGACCTCCTATCACACTGCTTCCTGAGGCCCCAGGTGGGCTAAGAGGCTGGGGCTGTTGTACCTGTCACCCTACCTGAACCCCCAGCTTTGTCACAGACCTGCCCACATCCTTTCACTGCCTCCACACGATGGCCGAGCATCCTCTGTTGGGGAGATGGTCCCCCCTGGCTCCTCATCCAGCACCCAGCCTAACCCTACCACCCCACGCTCCTGGGCGTCCCGGGCTGAGGGGTCTCAGCTGGTCTGGAGTCCAGGCCATCCCCTGCCCACCACTGCTGTGGAGGGGACTGCCAGGCATAGCTGCTGTGAGCCATGTCCTTGTGTGTGTCTGTTCACTCTTAGGAGCCATGCCCAAGTTCAGACTTCCAGCCCCAACACCCACTTTGGAAGCCCTGTGGCTACATGTATGTCAGTAAGGGTTGTACAAAATAAATTCTATTTATCGCTATTGTACTGGGAGTTGAGCCTGGCTTTGTGTAAACCCTGTCTAGACACACTCCAGATAAATGCACAGAGGGCCTGAGGTGGAGCAAATGAGCCTCTCCCCTCCTGTGCTGCTGAGTCTGGGGGTACCTCCGAAACCAGGAGGTCACAGGGTCTGTGAACATCAGCCGAGGCCTCCTCTCCATGGCCCCACTCTTCCTCCCACCTGTGCCCTTCCCCATGGAGGGAAAGTGTGGCTCTGGAGTCAGCCCTGGCACCATCTCTCCTTAGCTTGGTGGTGAGGAAGTCAGTCTCCACTACAGGAGCAGGGAAAGCCTGTGACCTCCTCAGGGGGTATCTGTGAGCATCCAGTGAGCTGGTGTACATAGTCACCAGACATATAGTGGCCAGCACACAGTAGATGCTTAACTAACAGTTATCTCCTTTCCTAGCTCATGTCCCACAAACCCCAAGGGGTTTCCCTTGCGTGGCCACCAGGGGGCACCAAAGGATCACCAGCAGGGACAGAGAAGCAGTCAAAGTCCCTGCCTTGGGCACTCACAGTGTAGAACCACAGGCTAAATGGGGTGAGCAGAGGGGTGGAGGAGGAAGTGGTCTCTGGGAGAGGGACCTGCATATATAGAAGAGGGTGGAGAGCACCTTAGATTGGGAGGGGTCCAAAGTCAGGACCGTCCTAGAGGGGACAAGGAGATAGACTAGGGTGAGGCCAGAGAGCACATGGTCTTGAATGTCAAGCCCAGGATAGCAATGGAGAGACACTTAGAGCTGTGGTGGCTGCTAATGGAGTCTGAGTGGACCAGGCTGGCTGGAGGAGTCATGGGGGATGGATTTCTTCAAGGACAGAGCCACAGGAGATTCATTGGACTTGAGCGTGCTACTTAATTGAGCTCAGGAGTAGCCGCCATGCTTAGCTTCTCTAGAAGCTTGGTACCCCTACCTCATTCTCACCTCCTAGGAAGATGCTGGGGACACTGGAAGCTCTCTGAGATGTACCATACCTTCTTTCCTTCCTTCCTTCCTTCCTTCCTTCCTTCCTTCCTTCCTTCCTTTCCTCCTTTTTTTTCCCCCTCTTTTTTTTCGGTTTTTGAGACAGGGTTTCTCTGTAGCTTTGGAGCCTGGCCTGGAACTGGCTCTGTAGGCCAGGCTGGCCTCGAACTCACAGAGATCCCCCTGCCTCTGCCTCCCGAGTGCTTGGATTAAAGGTGTGTGCCACCACTGCCTGGTTTACCATGCTTTTCTTGACAGGGTCCTTCTATGGCCTTCAGCTGCCTCAGGCCACCCAGGGACCATGACTCATACCCAAACTCCAGTCTTGTCCAGCAGGGCTTGGCGCCAGGCTGTCCTGGCTTGGTGGTTCCCCCTCCTAGGTCACCCCATCTCCCACAGTCCAGCTCTACAGTGCACTCTTCCCCAGCCAAAGGCCCACAATCATGACATCCAGCACAGAGCTTCCTGGGCACAGGCTCTGAGTTCGTTCTCCTGGTGATTTTGGCTATCTGGCCCTCACTCCACTCCCTCTTCTGTGGTCCCTAGTATGAGGCTCAGTGAAAGAGGCTTCACCATGATGGTCTTGGTGCAGCTAGAGCCATAGGACTCAGACAGTAGTGTGTAGGGATGTGGGCAGGAGCAGAGTTGATTGAGTCTTTGAACAAAGGGGACTGTGGACATTTTTATTGCTAAGCCTTCCGAGGGCACAGTCCACCTCTGTGTCCAGAGGACACCTCCCCAGGGGCTGGCTCCAAACAGAAGTGTAGTTGGGAGCCTTTGGGATGCTACCCCCAAGCTCAGCACCACAGGCTTTTGGCCTGAGCATCCCTTCATGGGGCTTTGCTTAATTGTGTGCTCCAATCTATCCCGGAGCTGAGCTGGAGCAGCAGGGCCCTGGAACAAAAACAGGTGAATAGCCAGGAGAGCAAGTCCCGGCCAGCCTCTCCCACCCTGCCTGTTTGCACCAGCCTTACTACAGGAAGAAGGCTCCAGGCCTCAGAGAGTGGCCCAAGCCATTTCTCTCAAGCTCCAAGGTGGGGCTCATGGAGTCTGAGGATGCTTCTGGCCTCTGGGATCAAAGTGGACAGTGCTGTTTCTCTTGTCCCCATGCCAGTTCTGTGCCTGCCCTGGGTTCTGAGGTGGGGAGGGCAAGCCAGGACACCAACCCGAGGCTGGAATTAGGGCTAGGGCGGGGGGCACCAGTTCCAGGAAGCAACAGGCTATGTTAGAAATAACCCTGGTGCTGCAAACAGCAGCACTTTCCCAGGAGACAGTGGGAGCACCTCAAACTCCTGGCATCCCAGCTCCCTGTGGGCAAGACTCTCCAAGTGTCACCTTGACACAGGACAAACTTATGGTCACGAACACTGTTATACTTCTAAGGAGCCATGCATGAAGCCTGGTGCAGAATCCATGCCCAAAATGAGGGTCCTCCCATACCCCACCACCACCACAGCAAAAGTGACCCTGGACATCTATGGCCAACTCCAGGACAATGTTGTCAAAGAAGTGGCTGTAGGCCCAGGCTAGTTCAGTACCAGGAGACCAGGACCTGGACGCTCCCTGCTTCTCAGGCTGCAGGGGTGCTCAGCCAGGGACCCTGGAATATAGAGGTCTGCCCTATTGAGGGGACAGCCCAGGATGGGCCTCCTGAAATAACCAGATATGGTTAGCGAGGCTAATTTTAAAAGCCACTCTGGCTGCCCTATGGGCCCTTCTGGGAAGCTGTGAATGTTCCTATGTGTGCCCTTGGGAGGGGCTCCTACTGGACCCCACGTGGCTTCCTAAGGTCCATGAGCCCAGGCCTGATGCTAGGCTTTGGAAGCCCAGCTCCCCTCGGCCACAGTGCAGCCCCTCCCCCACTGCAGCTCAGCATCTTTAGCTTTCTGTCTTGGTCCCTAGGCCATCCCCACCCATGTCTTCTGCTTGTAGTTCTCATGCACCTCTGTCACTTGCCCCTTCTGTTCCTGACCCTTTAGTCCGTTCTCTGCAGCTGGAACCCCATCCCTCTCCAGGTCCTTCCCCTAGGAGACTGGATGCAGCATACCGGACAGCCCATAGCCTGCTCTGTGCCGGCTGGTGGAGGTGGGTGTCCACCTGGAATTGAGGGCAGGAGTCCTAGGGCTGACAAGAACTAGGTCCGGCATGCAGGGGCCAAGTCCAGGCACGACCTGGGCCATCTGGCCAGGCCAGGTGCCAGCTGGGGGAATGAGCTTCAGGGCAAGGGTTGGCAGGCAGCAAACAGAAACATGCGGTACCCAGTTAAATTTGAATGTCAGGTAAACACAGACTCATTTTTAGCTTAAGTATACCTCATACAATATTTGGGACATACTTATAGCAAAAAAAAAAGAAAAAAAAAGATTCCTGTTTACCTGACATTCACAGTGAACTAGGTGCTCTATGTTTTATCTGGCAGTCTTGTCTTGGTGGCCCTAGGAGTAAGGGGAGGCCTCTTAGGGACAGGGACAGCCAGTTCTACAGACTGGTTTGAGGGTAGAGGCATGGCTCCTGCCCAGATCCGGAAGGGACTTCATTTTCAAAAGGGGGAGAGTCCTTGGGGGATATGGTGAGGGGTCACATGCCATCCAAGCACAGTCACCTGGCAGCAGAAGAGAGGGCCGTATGTTCTCTGCTGAGCCCCAGGAACAGGCACTCAGTGGGACCTCTGTAAGTGTTCTTACTCACAACCCATCTCCATGTAAGAGGTGGGGCATGTGGCCAGAAGAGGGCTCTAGCACCCTGCTCCTAAGTGCACTGGTTCCAGCCATGGGCTCTCCAAAGGCGGCTGCAGCACGGAAAGAGAGAATAGTGTCGAGGGCTCCTCTTTCTCCTAGCCCACTCTGTCCCAGGCCAGTGTTGGAGCTCAGC